CATGACATGAAAATAGCCAAAACCCGGTGTCGATTGATCGCCCGACCACACTTCTCCAGCAACAGGATTGTCAACATATGAAACAGGCTACCCGTGGAGCGAATAGAACTGCAGGCCGCGTTAGCATTCAAGACTGCCCTGGACGAACGGTGGTTTTAACTGATTCCGGAAGTGGAGGTCTGGTCATCAATCGACCGACTCAAGAAGACTAGAAGAGTAAGAACAGGCCCCTCAGGTTCCATGCTTTTGGTTTAGCTCGTGATTTACTGCAATGTAATCTGGCAGAAGAACATCCACGTATAAAAATCTCTCACGTTGGAGGTGAGATGATGCATCATTCCCTTTTGTTCTACGAATCAGTCAGAAGGTAAAGGATTACTTTTCGCAGTGGTGGGTGCCAAACTTGACTGCATAACACCGAAGAAATTCTTGGAGGATCGATCGGCCGTGACAATTTATTGTCTTGTGGAAACTGCACTGAAAATGTGTCTTACATATTGAAACATATTTCTACCCCAATGTTAGCCGTGGGTGTGCGAGTAGGTAGTATGCTAATGAGCGCTGATACTCTCTGGTGTTTCTTGACTAAAAAAATAACACAAATTCAAGGTTAATTATTTTATTTACTATTCAAATTATCATCATCATCTTCATCTTCATTCCTTTTTCTATTATATAAAGCTGTTTCAATGAGAGCAATTGCCCGAATACTTCGAGTGTTGTTTGGTTTTTCTAACCACTACATGGAAAATAGTCCCATTGAAGCAATGATATATTTATCAGAGTTTATTATCATCATACAAACTGATCAGTACATTGTAACATAGTGCACAATGAGAGAAATAAGACTTGCACAGAAATGTATCCACATTCGAGTTTACCATGTGGTAAAGCTTACCACTTCATGTAGTCCGTATTGCTAACCGTTACATCTGTTCCATGCGGAGAGAGAAAGGACAAATACCGCTTTCATTTACCAGTTTTGTACAACGTTTTCACAAAATCTGTCTTCTTTATCGGAACCCGTTTGTTCCAAACGGGGTTCAGCGCAAATCAGTCGAAGATACCGCCCTGCGGAAAAATAACGGTTTTGTTCGTGATTGCATTAGACAAAACGAATTAGAGAAATCCCTTTCGTCCTCAGACAGATAGAATTTCCCAGCTCATCCAATCTATTTTGTGTGCCATGTTTTCCACTAATCACAATAACTTGTTAGAATTTATTCATCGAAACCTGAGGCTTGCTCTCTGTATTCCAGAGGTTAGTCAGAACTCAAATCCGACTCGGCTACCCAATTCTCTATTGTGTCCTTAGATGGATCTGGGATTTGTTGGAAGAAGTGGGAACCGAGTGGCCACGCTGGTAAGCAAGGAAACTGAATGGTCCAACCCATGGAACGAGCTTCAATTTTCGCAACCCCCCCCC